TTTTAAGGCTTGATAGGCCGTCGCTGTGCATGACGGACCAAAGCATATACTGGGTTACCAGCTAACTGGTCAGGTATCTGTTATCCCGCCCAACTCTTCCCACAATTCCGAGTGCAAGAGTCTTTCCCACGAGAACACCTTCGTAATTTCAGGCGAAGAAGAAGGGATTTACCAGATGCCCAATGGTATGTAAATAACATAAGCCCCTTAACCTGGGAAGAGGCCACTGGCGGTTCCCTTATCCCACTTGGGGGAGTAATACACACCATGCAAAAAGGCTCCTGGGGTTACAAGCAGTAGTTGAAATAATGGCAAATGAAACCGGAGAGAGTTTAAGAGCCCTGGCCAAAGAAACGGGCGATCCGACAGATGGCCCTCCAAAACCGTCAGGCATTGGACATAGTGCTGGCGGCCAAAGGAGGGATCTGTGCTCTCATTAGAAAAGAATGTTGTGTGTTCATACCTGACGACACCAATGAGGTAATAGATCGTGCTAGTCACTTAGAACAAATTGCATATCTTACCCATGAAGAGCCAAGTTCTTTATGGAAGTGGCTAAGTAACCTGTTCAATTTCTCTGGCATAGGAAACTGGTTGTTTCAGGGAGCCCTGACTATCCTGTTTGGAATCCTAATGATTTTTGTATGTTTTCAGTTAATCTCCTGTTGTATCCAGAATTGTGTAAGGTATGCCACCCAGGTGACTGCCCCAAAACAGGGTGCTAATATCATGATTTTGAATATCGCTGATGAACAAAGAGATGAAGAACGGTGTGGAATCCAGTAATTGTTGGTCATGCCTATGGCCTACATAACCCTGAGGGGAGTGTTCGGGCCGCCCCTCAAGGTGCCTGTAGTGAGGATATACCTGAAATGGGGGGCTAAGGAGGGACCCAAAGAGGTCAGGGTGCACCATCACCTGCCTACCGAGGTGCTAATGGGTAATGACTTGGAGAACTGGCCGGATGGCACTCAGAGAGCCCTGGTCCTTACCTGGAGCCAGAGCCAGCGAGGGACGTGGGACCTCCCAAAGGGGGGGACCAAAGTGCCAAGGGTAGGGCTCGACAGGGCTGGGCTGGAGCCTCCATCCCAAGGTGGGGAAACTGAGGCACTGCCAACCAGGGCTGTATCCTCAAACCCAGCAGCTGAATTCCAGATGGAGCTGCAGGAGGATCCCTTCTTGGAGAAGCTGAGGGCCCTGGCTGGCCACAGTGGTGTAGGATCCCAGGGGGAGGACCACCAGGAGAGATTCCTGTGGGAGAAGGGATTCCTGTACCGGGAATGGGCTGATTGGAGGCAAACTGAACCTTGGAAAGCCAGGAGGCAGTTGGGGGTTCCCCAGAGGTAACGCTGCAGACTGTTGTACTTGGCCCATGATATCCCCCCTTCGGGGCATCAGGGCATCCGGCGCACCAGGCAGAGGCTGCTGCAGAACTTTTACTGTCCCGGGGTCTTTGACGCTGTCCAACAGTATTGCAGGTCCTGGGACTCCTGCCAGAGGGTGGGAAAGGCCCGGGATAAGTGTAAAGCACCACTGAGACCTTTGCCCATCATAGAGGAGCCTTTCCAGAAGGTGGCCGTGGACATAGTGGGGCCCCTCAGCAGGGTGATCCGGTCAGGGAACAATACATCCTGGTGGTGGTAGATTTCGCTACGCGCTACCCCGAGGCGGTGGCCTTGTCCTCTGTCGAGGCAGACACCGTGGCAGACACGCTGCTGACCATTTTCACCAGAGTGGGATTCCCCAAGGAGGTCCTTACAGAGTCCGCTGGACTCCCTCCAATTTGTCCACATCCCTTCTGTAGTGGGGGTCCCAAAACTGGATGCAGTACTCCAGATGTGGCCGAATAGAGGGGAATAATCACTTCCCTCGATCTGCTGGCAGTGCTCGTACTACTGCAGCCCAATATGCCGTTGGCCTTCTTCACAACAAGGGCACACTGCTGACTCATATCCAGCTTCTCATCCACTGTAATCTCCAGGTCCTTTTCTGCAGAACTTCTGCTTAGCCAGTTGGTCCCCAGCCTGTAGCGGTGCCTGGGATTCTTCCATCAAGGTATATCGCATCCACTGCTTAAGCCCATTACTGCTTGTCCTAGCTTGAGTGGGACTAAGAACAATTGATCCCCGTCCTCTTTATAACAGCCCTGAACATATCTGCAGACTGTTCTCAGGTCCCACCTCAGTCTGCTTTTCTCAAGACTAAACATGCCCAGTGTTTTTAA